GAAGGTGTATGTAGTAAAAGAAATAAAAGCGTTTATTTGATCAATTGATTTGTTGACTAGTTGGTTATATGATTGGCTGAGTTGAGTGAATAAATATTTGGTTGATTGAATAAATATTGGATGGTTGGTTGGTTAATTAATTGATTGATTGACAAAAGATTGTACACTTAATGGCTGCTTCAAATCAATGGTTGAAAATATGAAGAACATAATAAAAGACATATAGATAATATATCTGTAACATTGTAATTAGTTCTGCGTATGTCAGAGCTGCAATAATAAAGACTAAAAAAAAAACAAGCCAACCCACCTAGTACAATAGCAAAAGTCATCTTAATCGATTTTACTTTTGCTCTTGATATAAAACCACCTGATCTTTTAAACGCAGATGTCTCCATTGGTGAAAAATTGTTGTTGATGTTGCTGTTGTTATTGATGTTGTGGTTGATGTTGTTGTTGTTGTTGATGTTGCTGTTGATGTTGTTGTTGATGTTGTCTTGTTGCTGTTCTAATGTTTCTGTTTCATGGCTGAAGCTTATTTTGGCTGTTCGATTTTGGAAAAATAATTAACGCGTTGCAATGTTTTGATCTATGGTTGATATTTGTTGGTATTATAACTATAATTATAGTTGCTAATTATAATTATAGTTGCTAATTATAATTATAGTTGCTAATTATAATTATAATTGCTAATTATAATTATAGTTGCTAATTATATTGATAACTTTTTTCTAATTTATTAATTTAAGCAAATTTTTAAAAAATATTTTTCAGAAATACCACCAAACATCACACGGCAAATGCAAATATGTAACAATCCAACAAAGCATCAAAGACATTGAAAGGCTGGGATGTCTTTGCGTTCGAACCCAGTCACGGTGACAGTAAGACCATTGCCTTATCAACGTTCGCCACTACCAAAACCATTAAAAATTTTTTATTCCGGACAAGTTTATATCACGCGAAAACTCTAATGGAGTGAAAATGAAATTTCAAAATGGCGGGAAAGTTCGTTATCTCACTCATTATCGCCCGAGACATAAAATGGGACTTATTTTTCTATTTATTGTCAAGTATAATTCAGTTTATGTCGTAGTAAATTGCAGCGACGATGATGATGATGATGCTGATGATGGTTATGATGATGATTTTGATTGTGATGAAGACTTCTCGTGAGTTTTCTTTCCTTCATCACATAACCATCATCATTTTAATCAACACTACTACCATCATCATCGTCGTCATCATCATCTTCATCATCGTCGTCATCATCATCATTGTTATCATGATTATCATCACCATCATCACCCTCATCATCGTCATCATCACCACAACTTCCTAACCATTTTTATATTTCCAAAAACTCGCGCTACTCCTATCTTGAGCGTGATTGGCTGTGGCGGACATGCAGGCTCTCCTCATCGGCCTCTCATTGGTCGACGTATTGATGACGTAAACGATGATTACGTAACAGACGGTGATGATTATGGCGGGAATTATGAATGCCAGCAGAGAGTTTAGAACGATGTACAGCTGGAAAGTCGTCACAATTAATGTTATCTCTTGCATTGTAAACAACGAGTAGGAAAGAGAGAGAGAGAGAAAGAGAGAGAGAGAGAGAGAGAGAGAGAGAGAGAGAGAGAAACACGCAAGAAAGAATTAAGAGATTCATACTAAAAAGAGAGAAAGTGGAGAAAGAGAGAGGTAGTATAAAAATAATTAAGGAAAGAAAGAAAAACCGATGAGATGATGAAAAGAAAGCGCTGAGTGCAAATGAACCAGAGAGGGAATGGTTATAAAAAAAATTAAAGAAAATGTTAACATCTATAAAAAATAATTTTAAAAATAAAATTGGAAAAAGTACAAAAATGGTCAAAGAAAGAGAGAGAGAGAGAGAGAGAGATAGAAGAGAGATAGAAAGGAGAGAGAGAGAGAGGGAGATAAATGGGAGAGATTAACTATCAATTTATCGCACGTTGCAATAGGAAATTCATTCATTCATTCGTTCGTTCATTCACTCACTCATTTATTCATTTGCTTAGTCGTCCATCAATCATCATTTTTTATTTAAATCTTGCACCAAACAAACATTCATATTTTCTTTAATGAAAAAAGTTCGGTGAAAATTTGAAGACAAAGAATTTCTGGACTGCAAATCATAACTATTTTTCAAAGATCTTACTATTAAACCAAGGGTGGGCAAACTTTTTGCTATGAGGGCCGCATTGAGAAATATTTTATCTTTGAAGGGCTTCATATGTATTTGACTAACAAATTTTTTCGATCCGAGGATAAATTTTTTAAGATTTATGGCCCTTTTTTTTAGTCATAATGTCTGGCTTTGGCAAACAAGACCTCGCGAGCCGCATAAAATAGCTTCGAGGGCCGTGGCTTTGCCCATCCTTGTATTAAACAAAAGTGTCAAATTCGTGTATATCTTTTTTTTACTCTCTCTCTCTCTCTCTCTCTCTCTCTCTCTCTCTCTCTCTCTCTTTACATTTTTCTCTTTTCTTTCATTCTTTTTCTTTTTTTACATTTCTCTTTCTTTTTCTCTCACTCTTTCTCTCTTTTATTCCTTCTCTTTTTCTATGTCACTTTCTTACTTTCTCACTTTCTTTCTTTTCTCTTCTTCTTCTCTCTCTCTCTCTCTCTCTCTTCTTATTATTGAAAATATATACAAATATGAAAATAATTAATAGAAATGCTATCAATTCAGTGCAGCTGGAAATTAAATTGATGATTTACTTTCAAATATTTTCAAACTTTTTCCAACAGTTGGAGAATGTTTTTTTTTGGGTTCCATTTTAAACCATTTGTGCTTCACTATGCAAACTAACTAACATCCTTCTATTTAGTTGTTTATGTAATAAATTTACTCCTTCATTCATTTAATAGTTTTTTAGCCATTTATTCATTCATTCATTCATTCATTCATTTATTCATTCATTCCATTTTATTTATTCATTCATTCATTAAATCATTTAATCCATTTGACCGACTAACCAACCAACCAAACAACCAACCAACCCCCAACCAACCAACCAACCAACCAACCAACCAACCAACCAACCAACCGACCGACCAACCAACCGACCAACCAACCGACCAACCAACCGACCAACTAACCGACCAACCAACCGACCAACCAACCAATCAACCAATCAATCAACCAAACAACCGACCTGCCAATCCTGGACATCAATGACACATAGATACATTTGAATATTTTCATCAAACTTCTTCTTAATGAATGCCAGCATTGGAAGAGATGCAAGTACCGCTAAGAACCACGCAGAACCAACAAGCCAATATTTGGATTTTTCTGTTCGCGAGTTTGTATTGTATAAGTTTGTGTAAGTTTTTCTATTTTGAACTTGTTTTGCTTGTGTTTTGTATATATATTTGTATATATTTTTTGTATGTATTCGGTAGGTTTTACACGTTCCATTGCATGTGTGTGTGTACTCTTTTTAATAATTTTTGGTTTCTACGTAAATTATGTTCGCGCGTATGTGTATGTATGTGTGTGTGTATATGTGTATGTGTGTGTATGTGTGTGTGTGTGTGTGTGTGTTTAATTTAGGCGCAAGTTCCACGAGTTTTCGGTGTTTAGAAATTCGCGTGCCAAGAAGTCATTGGTAGTTTTATGTTTCTCTTTCCTATTTACATTTTGATTAACATCGTCACCATCATCATCCTCATCGTCATCATCATCATCGTCATCGTCAACTTCTTCACCACCATCGTCATCATCATCACCATCACATCACATCATCATCACACTATCAGCAGCGGTGCACACACACACAAACATACACAAACACATGCACACAAACGGCATCATCATCATCATCACCTCTGGCTGACCAACTGAGCGGGCGGGCAACGGCCAGTACTCTGTCGATGCTGAGTGAGACCAAGATGAATGACGAAGCGTAGAGGACGCTGAACTAATATGTGTGTGTATGTGTATATGTGTTTGTTTTTGTGTGTGTGGAGTGAATAAGTGAATGAATGAATGAATGAATGAATGAATGAATGAATGAATGAATGAATGAATGAATGAATGAATGAATGAATGAATGAATGAATGAATGAATGAATGAATGAATGAATGAATGAATGAATGAATGAATGAATGAATGAATGAATGAATGAATGAATGAATGAATGAATGATTGAATGACAATCGGAAAAATTAAAAAACAAAACTCACCTGACTAACTCTGACGATTTTGCACGTGATATTGTCGGCTTCCCATTCGATGGTCAGTTTCCAAACGATGTCCACAAATACAACCAGCACACCAGTGCACAAGTCTGCAGCGGTTCACACACATAGAAACACATACACACAAACATATACACACAAACATACACACACAAACATATACACACAAACATATACACACAAACATACACACACATACACATACACACCCACACACATACACACACATACAAACATACATACACACCGGCGATAATACATATTGTATATTTTATTAGTCTTGCGAAAAAACGTGTCCAATTATAATTGGCTTGGCACAATCACAAGTGATGATGATTCATGCTTGTTAACTGCTTTCGCTAATTTTTGTTTTCATTACTATTATAAATATTTATTATTATTGCTATCATCATCATTATTATTATTATTGTTGTTATTATTATATTACAGAAATTTAAAATGTTTGATATATTAAAGTTAAGTATTGATTAATAGGTTATACAATTATTTGGCTACATTTAATTTTGCTGCTATGCGATCAAAATTTAAGAACAAAAACAAACAAACGAACGAACATTCAAATGAACAAACACACAAACGAGCAGAGCAAACAACGGCTGGTTGTAACAAACAACAAAGGGCAACAATATAGCTCTGTGACGTAATCTTCGTCACGTGACGTGGAAGCAAAATGATTACGTGGTTTAGTGGACGCTACCGTGACCCAACAAATAAATTGGATAGAAAAACAAAAGAAAAACAAAGCATCTGGGAAGAATGAAAGATGGACATTAAAAAAATAAGAAGAGAGAAAAGAAGAAATAGAGAAAAAAAGACAGAGAGGGAGAGAGAGAGAGGAAGAGAAGTGGTGTGAAAGAGGGTAGAAGAATAGTGTTATAATTAGGTTCTGACGGAAAATGCAATTATGTACCAAAAAGAAGCTGTTGGGTGTGTTAATCGTTCGTTGTTATGTCAGTTGGTCATCTGCACTGCTTGTAATTTATTAGATTCTTGTTCATGTTTGTATGTTTTTGTATATATCTGTTTGTATATGTTTTGTATCTGTATGTATATGTATGTTTGTATTTATTCAACATTCTGCGGAAAATTTAACATGTCTGTGTTTATCAATGATATTTGAATGCATGCCCTTGCAGGCAAGTTAGTGGTGGGTGGGTATTCATTTATCTTCGAGTTCTTTTATACCCAAATTTTCACGAATTTCTTTTAATGAAGTTGGTTATTTCTATTTCCCTTTGGAAACTAATCAGTTATGCCTACGTTGTATGCCCATGCAAGTAATGTATTATTGTCTTTTTCTATGCTATTGAATGAACACAAAAAGAAGAACAAATAACTGCCCGAACGATCAAACGAATGACTTTACAGAGAAATGAACAAGCAACACAAACAAACGAACAAATAAACAAACGAACGAGTGAACAGACAAACGAACGAACGTACGAACAAACCTACAAACAATGAAGTACGAACCTGCAATAGCCAGATGGCATATGAAGAAATTCATTCTCGATTTCTTGTTGTTCGGCATTCGAATGTTGACGAGGACCGCCGCATTCAATAGGATGATGAGAAGGAAGAGAACGACGAGGAAACATACTTGGTGGGACTGGGATGGTGGTGGTGATGATATTAATGATGATGATGGTGGGGTCCATGTTGATGGTGACGAGAATGGCGATTATGAAGATGATGAAGAAGAGGATTATAAATGTGGTGATGGTGATGATGGCCATCTATACTGTAATAACAAAAGCCCCACCAACCACCACAAACCAAAACAAACCACAACCAACCACCACAAATCACCACAACCAACCACAACAAACCACACCGACCACAACAGCTGTGTTATTAAACATTTATTACTGAAGATATAAAGTTTCGTTCAATCTTTCGCGCTAAGCGGGCCCAAATTTCAGGCGAGTGAAATTGCTCTAAATCTCTGGTAAGCCGTTATACATACACACGGAGTTTATGAGTGCGACTGCTTCCTGGATTGATGGCTACGTTTAAATTTACGGTGACGGTCGTGCTGATGTTGTTGTTTGAGTAATGTTGTTGTTGTTGTTGCTGTGGTTGTGTTTGTTGTGGTGACTGTTGTTGTGGTGACTGTTGTTGTTGTTGTTGTGGTTGTTTTTGTTGCTGTGGTGGCTGTTGTTGTTGTGGTTGTTGTGGTGGCTATTGTTGTTGTTGTGGTCGTGTTTATTGTTTGACAGATGATGTCCTAGTTTGAGAGATATTAACATTGTTGTTGACGTTGTTGTTTCTGGTTTGAGAAGCATATGTTGCTTAAATTTACGACGACGTTTTTGTTATTGTTGTTTTTCTTTACGACATAATGAACTCTTAATGTCATGATGTCATACGGTTTTGAAGTCATAATGTTATGATGTCATTTCGTTTTGATGTCGTAAACTTATGACGGTATAAAAATGATTTATCTTGCAGCATGTGCTCCGCCGATTTTAATCCTCATTATCGTATAAATTATGAAAAATTCTCCGGTGCGTTTTTCAGCACAGACCACTCCGACACACTTTCCACAACAAGCCACACCACACGCCACACCACACGCCACACCACACGCACCACAACACACCAAAACTTATCCCTGCACCACAAACAAACATTTTTTTTACCTGCAGACAAGCCCTTCTTGATAATGGTAAATCTATTTCTATGTACTATTATACAACTTTTTTATCAAATTGGTTGGCGCAGTATGCATTCGAACCAGAGTACTGCGTGTAACCAGCTTGAAAAATTATTGTTGTCGTTTTATATAGTATAAATTTCGTTATTGTTCTTGCTGTCGTTAGGTTTTATTGTAGCTAATGACCATGCTATTCTAGTTTATTTTGGTAAATAATTTTTTTAGACTGTATAAAGAGAGAGAGAAAGAGAGAGAAAGAGAGAGAAAGAAAGAGAGAGAGAGAGAGAGAGGAAGAGAGACAAAGAGACAGAAGGAAAGAAAGACAAATTTTACTTCGTGAGAATTGAACATTTTTCAAAATTATTTTTGCCCAGAAAACTTTTTGTGAAAAATTGATAAGGGAGAAAATTAAATTGAAAAAAAATCTAATAAAATTAAACTAGACTAAATTAAATCTATTGTAGTTAATCATTGCGATCGAATTTTAATTAAATAATAAAAAATCTAATTTCATTGTGATCGCCATCATTATTTACAACGGCATCAAAACCACAACAATGACGTCACAAAACAGCTGTCATCGTCTTCAAACTTTCAATCTCGCATTCATCGTCGTATCTCGGTGATCTTCTACATAGTAATACAAACAATCGTCAACTTAGCTCTGCCGTCGCTCTACGTTTTTAGCAGCATAAAACAACAAACAATATTACTGGGTGTGCATTCCGACATGGAGCTCCTAACGAGTGTGGGATTCGCTTCCGCCAGAGATTAGGGACTGCAGCTCTACACAGTCATTCAAGTCGTCATTAAAAACTTTTTATTTTGATTGAGCGTTTCCGAACGTCTGACGGAGGATGTTTTTTTGTTTCGAGGGCACCTCAGTCGCTTGCCAGGGCGCTTTATAACTTAACTTTATCATTATCAACAACACAGACGAAAAACATATCAAAATTACATTGACAACAACAATAATAATAAACTAACGGTAACAACAACATTGGCAAAAACAACATTAACATCAGCAGAAATGACACCAATTAAACAAATTTTTTAACTATTACGTTACGCGCATTTATTGAATGCAATAAAACTCTAGAATACTTTTATTGCTTCATGTATCAATATATACATACCGTATGTATGTTTGTTTGTGCATGTGTATGTATATGTGTGTGTATGTGTGCGGGTGGGTGGGCGTTTGTGTGTGGAGATTGTGGTCATAAAGCTATCGTTATTACACAACATTTACAGCACTTATATATCTACAATATAATTTGCCTTTTTTGTTTGCCATACAAAAATATAATCAAATAAAATAGCAATAAAAATGATAACATATTTAATAATAATAAAAGTAATAGTAATAATATCATCTTACATTTATATAGCGCCCTTTCGAACAAAATTTTTGGTGTCTGTGCGTTTTTTAAAAATCTTTACATATACATTTCATTATTCCGTCTTTTTTGTCAGGGTTATATATAATTATTGATGAAAATCACAGCATGTTCCGCGTTGGTTAGCTTCCTATTTAGTTTTTCTATTTTTCTAAGGGATGGAGTCACTCTTTACAAATGTTTCTGTAGAAGACACAACCAGCTTAATAAATAGATAGAATATACAATTCCAGTCATCCACCGCTACCAATTCCAAAAGATGAATTAGTGGTGGGGTATCACACTATATCAGCAAATAGACGGTGTGGCAATGGGCTCTCCATTGGGGGTACACTTCGCAAACTTCTATCTTGAACATATCGTAGAAATGTTATTTAACTATTGTGGTATTTAATAAGAGAGAGAGAGTAGTAAGAGACAGAGAGAGAGGGAGAAAGAGAAGGAGAGAAAGAGAAATAATAAAATAGAGAGAGAGATAAAAGGGACGATTCTCTATTAGAATTAAAGTTATTAACAAAAAATGTGCTGCCTTATATGACACCAGAGCATTGCATTTCATCTCATCGTGTGATCGTGTTTCACTCGCTGTCTGTCTTCATAAATAGAACATGTTGAAGTCTTGAAGTCTAGGGACGTCGTCGTCTACAACAACAACAACAACAACAACAACAACAACAGCAACAACAACAACATGAACAGACACATCAGCAACAACAACAACATCAACAACAACATCAGCGCATAATCAACATGATCGTAAAGCAAAAAACAACGTAGACTACGTCAACATCTACCATAAATCACATTCCATCTTTCAACATTAACAAAACAATAAACAGAAACATACAAAAACAGACGTGAAACTAAACATAAACATAACTTTGTATGGTCCCCCTCGTCTTAAGTACTTCACTTCGTCTTAAAGCACTTCATTTTAATGCCGACATCAACAAAAATTTATCGGCAACATCAACGTTAATGTCATGAATAATAAATGTCAAATTCCTCCAACAACACAACAACAACAAAAAAATGTTGGCAACAAAAATGTCAACAACAACAACGTAGACAAGTTTGATGAATTATCTCGTTAAGAGTGCTTGCAATATTTCATTCGGGCATCCATCAAGCCATCAGAGAGTTATTACCTTTCATCATTTTGCTCAGAAAAAACTACGTACTGAAAAATTTCAAAATTGACAACCGCGACAACAAACTGCAAAAGCAACAAAACGACAACAATTTCAGCAATTCTATCAAAATTACAACAACGATAGCAACAACGTCAACAACAACAACACTTGTTATATTATACAACACTTGTTATATTATACAACAACAACATCGGCAACAACCGAATTGTCAAGTAGTCAAATATAAAATATTACCAAAACAATAACAACACTAACAACAACTGTTGCATTACCATGAAATGAACATCAACAAAAACAAAGCCCAACAACAACAAAACAGAGCAAACGAAATGAAACGACTCCAACAACAACATAACAACAACAAAACAACTACGAAATTGTTGAAAATCCAACATGTCACCTCGACAATAAATTATCATTAACATTGATGACCCATACATGTAGTAATATAACTTTGCATGCCCATGTATGTGTGTGTGTTTGTGTGTGTGTAAGTGGGTAAAACAATTAGTGTACAATCTGTGTACTTGTGTACAATGTATAACGTACAACGTGTGTACAATGTTGTACATACCATGTATATGATGCAGTCCTATCGCCTTTGAATTTTCTTGTTTGTCAATTATTTGTGTGGATCTTATGCTATTGATACAATCTATAAAATTTTGTATGTGTCTTTTAAATAATAATAATAATAAATAATTACATCAGAATAAATAAGAAAGTGATGTTGATTGCATCTCAATACGTTGTAAAGTAAGGAAAAAATGATTACTGGAAAGTGACTTCTTGCCTCAAAAGGCAATTAAGTTGAAAGCATGAAATGTATGGCAAGCTATTGTGTCTACGGAACGCCGAAGGGATGAAAGACTAGCAACCAATTAATAAAAATAATCTTGCCAATCAATCATTTATTAATTATTTTTTTCTATTTCGTGTTTTTAGCTTCTCGGAACTCCAAAAATAAGTTCAGCTCGTGGACAGAATAACATTTCAAACTGAAAAAATTAAATTAGAAAATTTTCAAAATCATTTTTCAGTTTTATTTTTTGCCTTTTTTTATAAAAAAAATAATGCAAAAGGTACCAGCAGAAGACATAACAGTTTTTCAAAAAAAATTTCTATTTTTTGGACTTATTTAATTTGTGTGCTGAAATGGCCAGTTAACATTAAAATGAGTAAAAAAAACAAATATATATATATATATATATATATACACAGTTATACAAAACATATGCACACATACACGCACACATACACGCACACATACACGCACACATACACGCACACATAATCTACACATACGCGGCAGTATATATTG